TTCTTTAGTTAGCCAAGTTTATATATACAGTATGTATGAAAAATGTATGAAAACGCTCCAGCAACACCCTTTATTTCAGTGTTGAATGGACATGATTTATGCTAACAACCATGCTCTAATATCTTTTTAGCTGAAAAAAACAGCTATTTTTATTAATTATTTGTGCTATAGTGAGAAACTGCACTCTTGGTATGGAGAAATTTCTCCTTAAAAGCTACAATAAAAGAACACCAGCGAGGATGAACAATTAGCTCCTTTGGGGGCCTATTCTCGTATTCTGTCAAAGAACTTGAGAGTTGCGTGAGACCCGGTCATGGGAATAATCAACTAATTTTGAACAGAGCAAATGGAACTCAATTGACCTGTAATCTTTTCTGCTTGAACGGTCTTCTTGACATTACCAATATTATTCATCTAGCAATGTCAAGAGGACAATTACCGCCATTAGTGAAACTGGGCTCTGTTATCCAAACCGCCAGTGAGGACTTTTCAAAAAAAAAAAAAAAAAAGGGGAGCAGAAATTGAACATATGTTATGCACATGGAAAAATCAGAATCAGAGATTCTGAAAGAAAGCGGGACATGGATAACTGCAGAAAATACACCGATGTCAAGCTATTATCCATCCAAAAAAGTTTTTCTTAGCTGTTTCACATTTTCATCAGCCCAATACACAGTGTCACCCAGGAGGATGAGCTTTTCTTTAGATAGCCAAGTTCCTCATTATAATTCTCCATACCAGCGCCGCTGAAGTCCTTCTGCCGACACAGAACACGTCAGCAGTGATAAAGGCCAACTCCAAGAGAATGTGGGCATTAGATCCAGCGAGAGGAAAAGTTCACTTCTGCATACTACACCACAGCTGCTGCACAGGAACGTCTCCTGCTCAACAAAAACACTCACTGATATTTGACTCAATCCTTCAAGTGTGACTCCTGTGCTTCATTTAGAGCATCTTTAAGGACATCTCTGAGATCTTTAAGAGGTCTAATGGTACAACATTTTCCTCTCGACAAGATTTCATGTGAAAAAGATATATGTATTCACGTCAAACTATACATAAGACTGTCTGTGCAAGTTGCCATGGTAACAAGAAAGCGGATAATGGAGGAATACAATTCAGATACAGCTTCTGATATTTTAAATTATAGTCAAGAATAAAGCAATAGGGTTTTTTTTATATCACAATTGTCATTTCCACATGGCAGTTATACAGATGAGCTCATTCAATCAACAGCTAGTTCAATTACATAAAGCACTGAGGTTATTTCACAGTAAAAAAATTATCTTGATTTTACCCGTAAAAAAACTGTAAAAATGCTACAGTAAAAACCTGTTAATTGGAGAACAGTAAGTTTCCATACTATAAACAGCGAATAACTGTGATTACATTTAATGTAATTTTACAGTAAAATCCTGTTAAAATTACAGTTTTTGGAAGTGATAAAGAACAAGTCATTGTATAATTTACAGTGAAAAAGAATTGCCTGCACTCCACATTTGATGTTTTTCGTTGAAATATTTAAATTGTTATTAAATTGTTGTTAAATGAATGTTTATTGCATTATTTCAGTATCATGTGTTACCATGATGGTGTTCAGTATTTGTGTGAATTGACACTGTGTGCACCTTCTCTATAGAAGTATTTCCCTCCTCAGATTGTGGAAAAGTGGTTTGTGATGAGCTTTCATTATATTACTCTCATCACCACCTGTTTTTCGTGGTTGTCACTGTATTTCAATGGTACAAAACAGATATTAATACTTCAATAGGTTGGAATATTTAAATTATATCAGTTAATAAAATACTTATTTTTTTTCTTTTTTTTTACTGTGAATTTAAAGCTAAAGTCTGTAAAACCTAAGATGCTGATATAATTTTTTATTTTTTGGTAAAGTTCTGGCACACCACACCACAGCTGCCGGTATTTTACCATAAATGCTACCGATTTTTTTTTACAGTGTAGGAAAAGCATTAATAGGTGTATTAGCTCTAGCTTGCAGACTGACAGCATTAGGTGAATGTTATACATTAAGACTAATACAGTCCACAACGTAATTAGTGAGTCTGTCAATCAACCCCCCAAAAAATTTGAACCTGTCAGTCTACATTCTATTGCTGGTTTCACAATGCTAGTCATCTTTTTTACAGATAAAATATGGCAAGGGTGATTGATAGTAATTGTCCAGTTTCTTTTTTGTAGCGTTTTCTGCGTTTTGTGATTTAATTTTGTGTCTAGAAGGGGCACATTTCTCAGAGACGAGGGGACGAAATCCAAATGTCGTTACTTATCTTGTTAATTGGAGCACTGGTACTCTTGTGCAGAGTCTGTAATGCTGCTTTAATTGGTTGTTGTAAAGGTCATGAAGGTGATGTTCTCCATCTGTAATGTCAGCAATGCAGCTTTCAATTCAACAGCAGTTTCTCAAGTCTGTATTCCTCACCCTCACAATGTCTGTTTCCAAAACTTTTCTCAAAAATGCTCATTTATTTGTTTGGATCTGTAAAATTAAACAGCAGACTTAATGGAACAGTCAGGTTCAATACAAATTCTCTGTTTTATCATTTAGGCTGTAAAGTTTTTTTGTTTTTTTACAATAGTTTTAGGGTTTAGAAATTACTGTATTATCATGGAAACGAAGTAGATCTGGATATGACTAAAATCATGTTAACACATTGTAAATCTTGTGGCACTGTAAAAATGTATTTATACTGCTTATTAAATATAATTTAAATGAGTTAAAGCAACAATTTTGTCAAAAATAATTTTGTTTCTGCTTAGTGTGATTGTGTCCAATCTACTTATTTAATTAAATGTCATATATATAAATATATACTGTATATATATATACATATATATATAATAAGTAAATATATATCTACATATGTAAAACTGAAGTTTCCTTTTTTCCCAGGGAGTTAAAACTCCCTGAATAATTTTTGTAGTATTAACTGAAACTGGGCAGTGGATTTTTATCCACATGCATGATTTGAAAAGGGATAAATCAGGAGAGTAAATATGGAGTTGGAAATGAAGTGCTATTTTATGTTTTGGGTAAAGGGAAAGAGCTGCTAGCATTCAGTTATACTTGATATTTAAAAGAGTTTCTGTTATATTAAGGTGCCATTGTGCTGAAGAGTGGAGCTTGTGGTTTGGTTGTGGGTGGCTATGAATTAAGTTTATAGTGTATGTTGTGCCATTTAATGAGCAATAGTTGTAGTAAAGTCAGTGCAGTGACAAGAAATTTCCTGCTTGTTCATTGCAAACGTTTGTTATGCAAGCTGCAGAAGATATTTTAAATGTACAATAATAATCAAGAGTTTGAATTATTAGTAATTAGCGGTGACAAATGCTAGGTAGACTTTACTTCATTTATTTTAATGTGTTATAGCTTTTAAAACTAGGTAGTCTTTATTCAACACAAGATGAAATCTAGCTAAACAAACTGTGCAAATTTTTACCTCAGATTTACTGAGTAGATTCTATAGGTTTGTTTTGATGGAGTGTTGAAACAAGGAGTATTTTAATGTTTACACATTCGCCCATTCCCTTTCACTGTTAGTGCCTCACTTTAAGTTTTTAAAGAGGAACAAATCAATTAAATTAATATTTGTAATAATAAATGTTATGCCACAAGTGCTATAGATTAATCTTAACTTGTATTGGACTCTAAATATTTCTTCAAGGTATTTGATTATAAAAGAGTCTTTGAGGGGAAGACACAATTGGGCTGATATAGTGGCAGAAATCGTTTCAGGGTATCTAGACCTGTTAGTCAGATACCTAATATAAAAACTATAAAAACATCAACAGGAATCTAATGTACCATAACACATGCTCTCAGTTGCCAACTCTGATGGTTTCCAGCATTCACACATCATCTAATCGACAGTATATACAAATTACATACATATACATATTTTGCAGTATTGCATCCTATAATTATAACAAATATCAAAATCAAAGCTAATAGCAGGATGTCTGGTATCCTTTATTTATCTGGAGATGTGGACATGTTTATGAGCGTTCCATCATGTTTTACATGTCACAATAATATTAGCTGGAGATGTTCATTTTCTTTTTTAATTGGGCATCTATCAAGATTTGCAGTGGCTGTGACATCTGTTGAAAAACCTGG